TGGGGCCTCCTTTTATGTCCCATGATTGCAAATAGGCCTCTCTCTATGGATATTTCTCTCAATTCAGGGAGAAATAGAGGTGGGAAGACAGCTTAAGAGTCAACTACTCCTTAGAATTTCAGAATCTGGAGGGGCTCTAGTTAAGTCTAATCTCCTTTTTTTTTTTTTTTTTTTTTTTTTTTTAAGAGAAGAAACTGGCCTCAGGCCTTTCATCACAGGTTAGAGGGCTCCCAGCAACCTGTCCTGACCAATCTCCTTTTTTGTTCGCCATGCTGAATTGTCTTTTCCTTTGCTGCATGGAGCCAAAAGGGTTTCAAGTTTATTTTATTGTTGAAATTCCTATCCTGTCTCTCTGCAGCCACCCAGCAGGCAGATCTGGCCTACCTAGCTTCTCTTCACACTCATTGCCCCAGCTTCTCGACCTCACGTTTGTTTCCCATCTTTAGGGCACTTCAGTTTTCCCTGCTATTGTCCCCTAAAGACAGAAGCAAAGGACAGGGTCAGAGCAGTCAGTTGCAGCCCTTATTAGTGGCTTTGATAAGAGGCTTTGAGGGAAAGGTTGAAACTAATGGCTGTAATGAAATTTTGGTTCTGCAAAAATGTCATTTCCATGTGAGATAGCCCCTCCCCCCATTCAATGCATGTATATTCTATTCTGTGTACCTTTCCACCATCTGTATATTGTAATAATAGCTAGTACTGAAGCCCAGCAATGTCTTCAGTAGAAACACTGTGAGACTTAGTGTCAGGGAACAGAGAGATAAAACGAAAGTGATAGCTCCAACGGTTAAATAAGATTGTTACAGTAGGGGCTGGAGAGATGGCACAGTGGTTAAGAACACTGACTGTTCTTGCAGAAGACCTGGGCTTGAATCCCAGCAGCCACATGGCAGCTAATGACTGTCCGTAACTCCAGTCCCACGGGCTCTGACAGCCTCTTCTGTCCTCTGTGGGCATTGCATGACACGGGTCCACTCACCTACATTCAGGCAATACACGCATACACATAAATAATAAATAAAATATTTTTAATGGAGAATTTAAAAAAAAGTGTTGCAGTAAAAAATAAGAGGAACACAAATGCCCGAGTAGAACGGATCTGCTATAGTTTCACTTTGTATTAACAGAATGTTTTAACTTCTCTCCATTTAGTAAAGATGCACAAGATGTTAAAAGGATTTTTAAAAATCATTTAGTATATTTTGTCTAGTAGTTTAGAAGTCAGATGACAAATTCATGGGTCACTTCAAAATGTTTCTTTTCATTTCCATGTTGCAAACTGAAATTTGCACAATTTCTTTGGAAATATTGGTATTTCTTTTTTTGTCTTTTTATGTATTTCTTAAATTTAAAGATTTTAATAAAACAAGAAAAATTAAACATTTTCTTAGTAGTCTTAAATATGATTCTTGAGATAGTTGGGTATTTTAAGGAGAAGATAATTCAAAGGCTAGAGAAATTAAATGTTCACAATGTTCTTTATACATGTGTAGTTCCCTTTTTTATTATATTTATTATTTTTATTTTACATGTATGCGTGTATTGCCTGTGTGTGGGTAAGTGCACCCATGTCCTGCAATGCCCACAGAGGACAGAAGAGACTGTCGGATGCCCTGGAACTGGAGTTACGGACAGTTGTTAGCTGTCATGTGGCTGCTGGGATTCGAACCCAGGTCTCCTACAAGAACAGTGTTCTTAACCACTGAGCCATCTCTCCAGCCCCTGTAGTTCCCTTTATAAAAGAAAAATACCTAAAGACAGACTTGACAATGTATAAAGACCTAAGTTGTTTTTGTACAATTAAAATAATATTTAAATTAGAATATTTTTAATGAGCGTTCATTTTACCTGTGTGTGCAGTTCTGTTGAGTTTTGAAATATGTATAGAGGGGAGAGCATCTGAAGGTCTGGAAATCAGGATTATCTGGTACTTCCAAACCATATCTGATAGATGGCCATCCACTGATTACACAAGAGGGGAATAAGAATCCCTCACATGATCCAGTTTAATTAGTGCCATAATTAGGAGTGGTGAACCATCTATGGGGACAAAACAGACCTTGGCTGACAAGGGCTTTTGTCTAGTGTCTTTGCTATTTGAGAAGTCCAGGTCTTAGATAACTTAGCGCCTGTAGGCTACTTTAGTATATATAAATAAGATGTGAAACTAGTAGTCATTGAGACTTTACTAGCTCAGAAATACTGTGTTCCACAAGGTACTGGTTATCTAAATTTCTTCATTTTGTGGGTGGGAAGGTAACAAGTCTATTTTTAAATGATGATATTCTTATGTTTATTTTGATAATGAAAGCTTAAACCATAAAACGAGTGAGTTTAACGGTTATGAAGTATATTAGGTGTTGTGTATGCACCTTGAGTTAGTCTTGCTTCCTTCCTATCTGCTGTCTTCACTAGGTAAAATAAGTACTCCAGGTGTGGAGGGTGATGGGGGTGGAAGACCAAACGTGCTATTTTATGTCATTGTCCTCCCCTCCAACTAATATTATTTCTTACTATTTTCTGATCTCTATTTTGAAGATGACAACAATGTTTTAAACATCTAGTTTCACCTTGGGAGATTCAGGCAATGCTAAGTAATTTGTTAGCTAAAGTATGTGCTGATTATAAGAGCCTATATGAAATGCATTATTCTCAAGGAAAGTCTGGATAGATCAGTAGCCATGGAAGAAATACAAAGCGTGACCAAGACTGCCCAACTATAGCACAGTCCCAGGTACAGAGGACTTTTTCTAAGGACCAGATAAGTTCAGTGTTACTTAAAACACTAATGATAGAATAAAAAGGCACAAAAGAAATGAGTCAGTTCAACCCTTTACAGTCAAGGAGCTGAGGTTCGGACATTTGGGATCAAAGATGAAAAATAACAGCAGGGGCTTTGGACCAGCTTTTGTGCCTTTGTGCTTTGTCTGTGGCCAGGGTGTTAAACAGGAAGAAAATTACTGCCCACCAAAATAGACTTTGTAGAAAACGTGAGTATTCTTTAAAATAAGGCACAAAGTGTTTAGTACACAAAGGAAAGACCATTTCCAATGTTTGGGCTTAGATTTTAAGGTGCTGTCCTGTGGGCAAAGTTACTATAGAACTGATTTCACAGTGACCTAAAAATTGGGATGGGGGGAAGAAAATGCAGTCAGACAAACGGACCAATAGTGATTCTATACACCCTTGATACTTGGAAGTTCTCCACAAAAAGATGGGAAAATTCTCTGGCTCACCTGATATTTTCTGGTGGGTTTGGAGATTGTGTTTTTAATTTTCACATTAAGGAAGCCATGCGGAAGCCATGCGGTTTAAATTGCAGTATTGTATTGGTGATTTTGGTGTAGTGAGCATGAGTATGCATCAGCTTTTAAAGGGGTTTGATTGTGTAATTTGGATTGCTTGGTGACCTTTGAAATTTTGTTTTGAGCTGCTGTCAGAAACATAATTGTTTTTCTTTGAGAAACATATTTTAACATCTACAAAGGTTGATCAAGCTAGGATAGTTTAAATAAAATAACTATCTTTTTTAATGTCAACCCAGCATATAGACCTGCTCACCACCTATCTAAAACATCAGCTCAAGGTACTGGAGTTTATTTTAATAATGCCTTTTCCATTAAAATTTTCAATCAGTCTATAGTTAAAGGGTAGAAAAGTTTTCCAGTCTGTTCCTAATTCTCCTTATTTTTAAGGTAACATTACTTTGATTTGCACTTCATCATGTTAACAACAGCTTGAAATTTTTTTTTTAATCTCAAAGAAGGAAGATTGTTCTAAATCTTAGCATCAAATCTTTCGGAATTTGGATATAGATACCAACTTTTAACAACCCTTCTCATTAAAGGGTTATTTATGTTTAAACTTCTGGCTTTTCAAGGTGTATTCAGGAATGTCCTAAAACAGAGTTTCCTCCACTCTGCCCATGCAACCACTGTCTAGGACTGACAAATGGATTGGAAATAAGCTACCCAACACTTGGAATGGGCCATTAATTTTAATCAAAGGTGATGCAGGAAGGCGAACGGGATGCATGACAATGTCAACAGCCCAGTAGGTGTTAAGAGACCACTCGGCCTTCCTTGTTACTTGGTTGGGCCATTAGTTGAGGTTGGGTGAAGACAGAAAGCCATGCCTGGAATTGAATGACCAGGTCACTCCAAAATCTAATGGAGAACTCTCTCCTCTATTTCAGAAATCACACTGTAATGCCATTAGAAGTCAAGGACAGCATTTAGAAAATATTGGAGGATTTCTTTCTTTTTTTTGAATCAAGCACCTTGCTACTTTTTCCAAATTTGTCAGGGCTCCTGTTTCTCTGCTCCCTTTTCTTCTGAAAGGATCATTGATGTTTACAGAGGATAAGAAATCAAACAGACATGGGGAAAAATATCTTAAAGCCTGCTTGCTTTTCAGAATTACATATTGTTAACTGTAAAACCCTCGGATATGCCAGAAACAGTTGAACACGTAAGGTGTTAAGCAAGATAACTAATTCTTTCTGCTAGTCTCATTTCCCCTTTCCTTTTCCTGTGTGTAGGAATAGTTTTGCTAATTGAAACTCAACTTTGGATTGCCCTAATGAAAGTATTTATTTCATGAGTGCAGACACATCTTTGCTCTGTCCTACTATAAAGTGTCAGTATTGACTGGCAACACTGGTGATTTTCATTGTGGTGAATTCTTTTCCTTTCCACCAGTAAGTATAGTTCTTTATTTTGAGAATTTTCAATTACAACAAAAATGGATTGCTCTGACAGATTGGATTAATGGTGTTTGTAATAAAGACATAAAAATGCAAAGGGGACAAAGAAGCATTTTATTTCCGCTTCAAGTTTGTGACGAAAATTCATTTTATCCTGACACGGCATTGCATGCATAAGAAAAAAACGTATGGCTGCATTAGTAATTTTTATACATATTTAAGAAAGAAAGGCAATTATATTGCTGTCTTGTTAATGAATTACTGTTCCAAGTAATAGTATTTGTTCTTCCTCCAGATGAAGATCAGCTCCGTGCAAAGGGCTATGACAAAACACCAGACTTCATTTTACAAGTACCAGTTGGTAAGTTCTTAAACTCTGATACTCATTTGTTTATAGAAAAGAGATTTCATTTTCCCGTGTGTTACTGTTAGCAAATGTTACTAAAGTAGGTTATCTTTATAAACTTGTATCTAAATGGGTAAAATCATTGGAAAAGATTATCTTAAATTATCCCATCATTTGTTCAGAAGAAATCTATGCCTTGGCCTTAAAACTTACCCAGATATTTAAGGAATGAGTATGTCTTCTAAAGGTATATTGAGTCACCATTTTCAACTGATTTTTCTGAATTTTGAATTTTTAAAACAGTTTCTTCGAGCAGCCGGGCAGACTGGTCTGCTTGACGTGTGACTTGGGAAGCTGCAGAGCAGCATCAGCATCTCAGAACCAGGAAAGGGAATTTGGAAGATCTGGATAGAAATGACAGCGTGAGATTGCAGCACAAGTGTTTCTTGTGATGAACTCACGCAATGTGTTGTTTCATGATTACGCCCATAATGAATGGCAAAGACTAAACTTCTGCTCATTAATGTGAAGCAGGGAGAGGCCAGTGCATAGTTCAAGATTTTCAATCTTCCCTCTCCTTCACTGTGTATTAGTAATGCTTTGTCCCTTAGCTGTGGAAGGGCACATAATTCACTGGATTGAAAGCAAAGCCTCATTTGGTGATGAATGTAGCCACCACGCCTACCTGCATGGCCAGTTCTGGAGCTACTGGAATAGGTAAGGTCCCATTATTTTTCTCTTAAGATAAACGATATTCAGCTGAAATCTCATTAGAAAAAAATATTTTGTTTAGCTGGTAAAAATGCTAGGAGCCTTTTTTTCTAGTAAATATAGAGTCTGATTAATGTATTCGTTTCAGATAATTTAAACTTCTCTGCCTTCGTGATGTTGCTTCATTTTTTTAAAACTAAAAGTCTCTGCATAAGGTCAAAATTGGTACAGTCTATTTCCTACTTTACAGTGATTATATTAGTGTCACTTAAAATACAGATAACAAGATGTGGTGCATAATATGATATAGACACTGGATTTTTATCCTTTTGATGTGAAATTTATGCTTCTTTTCAGAGCCTAAAAATTAATTTATTCTTAGTTCTCCAAAGACAATATCTAAACCATCTGAAAAATGAAAATGATTTACCTTACAACAGTAGCAAACAGTTCACCTAGCAATTTCTGTAACCTTTCTGATGGAATTCTCAACATTTAAAAGTGTGCAAGTAGGGACAGATTTGTCAAATACCTGCCATGTACCTAGATCTGAAAGTTATTTTAGTTAATCTACACAAGAATGCTACTAATTGTTTGCATGTGTGTGTGTGTGTCTGTCTGTCTGTCTGTCTGTCTGTCTGTGTCTGGGTATGCATGCATGTATGTATGTGTGTGGGTACAAATGCACGTGCATGCATGTGGAAGTATGTCTGGAGGCCTAGGGTGGACATCAATTATCAGTCACTCACCACTCTACTTTGAGGCAGGGTCTCTCACTGAAACTGGAGTGCACTGATTCCTACTAGTGTAGTTAGCCAGCTTGCCCTGGGGATCCACTGTCTCTATCTCCAAAGGTACTGAGATCACAGGCAGCAGTCATGCCTGCCTAGCATTTTCCTAAGTGCTGAGGATTGGGCCTCCAGGCCTTACACCTTTGTAACAAGCCCTTTATAGACTGAGCCATTTCCCCAGCCCAGGAAGTTACTTTTATAGATGACTACGCTGATGGTCAAAGACAGGAAGTAATAAGCTATTCTGTTAGTTACCATAGGCCTGTGTTAACCACTTTCCCCATCCATGCCAATTCCAACACAATGTCATCATCAACTGTTGAAACTTGGTTTTTTTGTTGATTTTGTTTTTGTTTTTTTTTTTTTATTATTGCATTCCTTCTTTCACACCATGTGTTTTCCCCCTTAGAACAAGAGGGGTGTCAGTTGATTGCCTTTTTAGATTGACTGTGCTTCTCGGTCATTGGCTGACAGTAAGAGTACAGTCATAAGATGACACTGGCCCAGATCATTAAGAAAGGAGACATGGCATCTGTGGACAACAGCATGGGGTGGGGGTGGAGGACTGTTGAATTTGGCATTATATTGTTACTAAGCTTTACAAAAGGCCAGTGGACCTCGCCTGTGACAGCTGTGGTAAAGTACGCCTACTCTTCGCCATGGTAACAGTGATCATGACAAAATGCTGAATGTAATGGCGTTCTTGATTTTCTTGTGTAATTGTGCGTAGCAGCCGAGCTTTACTTTACAGGGATGGAGGAGGAAAGTGCAAAATGTTTTAGAAATCAATGCTGCTTCAGCGTTTCCTGTGTTTTATTCAGCCATTATTCAAATTAGCAGTAATGTGGCAAATTGAATTTTAGATTTTTAGCAATTTTATGATGGGTTTGAAATAGTAAAGAAAGCATCATTTTTGATAGTATAGGGAAAGCAATGACAAGAAAATCAAATTACATAAGTTTAGGTTATTAAAAGATTAAAATGATTGAATAAAACAGTATGCATTGCAACTACTTTCCCCTCTTTGGTACTGGTCAAATCTTTTCTGATAAACAAATATAAATTAACTTCCAAATAATAGAGCTTGCTTAAAAATTCTAAAAGCATATATTCAACTATTGCATGCCTACTATGTGTCTAACACTCACCATTTAGGAGCATATTAAATAATCTGGTCACCTCTGTGATAAACCTGTGGGTGACTAACATGTCTGAAGGAGTCTGAGTGGTAGATTATTAATATGGTTTCCTCTCATTTAGGTTTTTAGTATTATGTTGTTACGTTCTACTTTTCCCATTTTAGTATTTTACTCAGAGTATTGTTGATTTACGTACCTGAAGGTATTCTTTGAATGGGCATTGGTGAAGTAGGTATCATTTGTGTAGGACAAATTGTGTGATAAGAGAAGGTCAGCCTTGATTTTTAAATGATACAGGTCATTCAGGGAGTAAATCCCCCACATAAAGTCACCAATATCACCAAATGTCTACAGGTAATAACAGCAACAAAAGCAAAAATGAATATGCAGATAGTGCCCAAGTTCAAAATGGAACCCTGGACACTCACTTGTTTTTAAAGCTGGGGTTGTAATAATGTGATGATTAAAGCAAATTTACCACTCACAGGTCATTTTAACCAAAGGTGATATTAGCCCATCCATGAAGTATGAGAGTCTTATTTCAGGAACACAACTCACAGAACAGATGATAAAGGTCTTCAGAAGTAGAAGAAATTTTCTCAAACGTATCCTTTCAATGAGGCTGGTGTTTGGGCTAAAATTTTGGAGGGAATGGGGGATTAGACTCTAGTTTACAAGAAAGCAAATGTTCATCTTCTCACATTGTTTTTAGGGTAATAGATTTTCCCATAAGGGAGCTTAATAATTTTAGGACAATCTTTTCATAAAAACCTGGGTTTTTTTTCCACACAAATCACTGCAAAGCCCTGAATTTTTAGGCTGGCATTCCCATAAGAATTTCCTTTCATAGTATCGTGATCTTTTCACTCAGCCTTCCAGTAGTCAGTTACTCGCTCCCTCTTTATTAGAACATTTGATTTTCTTGTCTCTGTGTTGGCAATTCATGTTGTGTTCCTTCCCACCGAGGCAGTGGCTTCTTTGGTCTCTCTCACTGGTTCTTCCTCTTCCTAGCTTCTAGGCAGAAGGGCTCTGGAATTCAGCACCCATCCTTTTCTCTTTTTCATCTACACGTTCCCTGGGATGTTTCATTGGGTCATATGGTATCACATGCCACCCTGCATTGGCTTCTGCTAATTTGGGCTCTCATCGCTAATATTTACCCCAATATAAATTTCTTTGTCTGTTCTTCTTGGTATCTAATAAGTATCTCAGATTTAACATGCACAAAACTAAACTCTTAATGTTTCTCCTCAAGCTTCTCATTTGCCCATTCTTCCTCAGTTCAACTAACAGTGTCTCAGTTTGCCTTGATACTCAATTCAAAAACCTGAGTATTACCACAGATCCTCAGCAAGGTCTTTCAGCTCTGTCTTCACCACATCTTAGACTGTGTATTTATTACTGTATCACCTGCCATTGCACTGGCACAAGGTAGCATCACTGGGGCAATTACCCTCGATTTCAAACTGATTTCCTTAGGTCCACTCCTACAGCCCTGTGGTCAGATTTTCATATACGAGTCTTGGAAAACATAAGTTATATAGTGTCACTTTCCTGCTCAAAACTTTTCAGTCACTTGCTGTCACATTTAAAATAAGCTCCCTACTCTGGCATGGCCCTCTGCAATGATCTGCTCACATTTCAGCTCAGACCTAGATATGTACACCTCTCTCCTCTCATACAAGAGCCCGTCTTATCTTTATATCTCCCATTACACTCAGTCTCTTGGTTTTCCTTGAATCTTGTTCCTTGCTTCCACATTGAAACCCCTACTCTGGTTTGTTCTTCTGCATGGAGGTTTCTTTGCTTGGTTCTCCTCTTTCTCTGACATTCAGAGCTCGGCTTGTATTGCCCCTCCTTCGAAGGACATCCTTCACCATCTCAAATGTAAAACCCTCAGTCATTTCTGTCTTCTCAGGAGGCCTTGCCCCCACTTGAATTATGAACGAGCAGAATATAGTTGGAAATTGTTCTGTATAACTCCTCAAAACACTTTCTGTTTTTTACTGTAATTTTGAATTGCCATAAGTAATATGTCTATCATTGCTTTGTTTTCAAAACTTCAGTCCTGATTTAATTCACCTTGAAGATTCTACAGTGCAGTCACTTTTCCAAAACAAGATATGTCAACCAAAGAACATAAGCTGCCTTTCCTACTAGCAGACCCCATCCTAGCTATGAACCTTGACTAGTTCTTCAATATGTTCAGTCTCTACTTCTGTCAAGTTATATAGACTGCCTCTGAGAAGCAGTATCGGGACCACAGCACAGCCCCCAAACTGTGCAGAACAGCCAGAAAACATTCCCTTGTAAAACCAACACAGAAGCCTTCTCTTTCTCCTTCTTTAATCATAAAGCGAGTTATTTGACACTTTGTCCTTCCTTGCTAAGTATACTTTAATATTCAGATGAGAGATAGAAGAAGAGAGCAATTCGGCAGTCCAAGGCCAGATTCCATCCGTGGGCTCTAAGTATTGCCTGTCAAAGCAGCAGGAGAATGAAAAACCTGAGCGACAGAGACATAGCCACCTGCGCTCATGGAGGTGACCAGTGCCCAACAATGACTGACCAAGAGCGTGCAATCATACTGCATGCAGGTCAGCCCTGCTACTGTTCTTGGTATATTCAGATACACTGTTATCAGTGGTATCTGTTAAAACCGACGTGCACTTTGTAGATGAGCCTCTCAAAGTCCATCTAAGCTGATCGACTGGCAAGACTGAGTACTGTTTATTTAGATTTGACTTCCCAAAGTAGTGATCCCTGAAGTTATGGAAGATGTATTGGACTTGAAACTAGTTTGTTCTTCTTCCTGGGCCCATGCCTGGGAGCAGCTGGTCTATCCTCCAGGACCACTTGTTTTCTCCTCAGTGAAATGGAATTGCTAGTACTTTTCTTGTCCTCTTGTGAAAATCAGTTATTTAATATCTATGAAGCTCTTTTACAGTAGCTGGCAGTCAACAAATAACAGTCCTCCTCTGTGTCTTTGGTGTATGTGTCACTGTCTGGTAGAAGTTAGAAAGATTCTGATTAGACATTTTTAATCACCTTTCTTGACAGATAAACTCTTCACCTA